GAGCTATCTTTGCTCTGAAAAAAGTTTGATTATTTTTCTAGGACCTACTAATCAATTTCTTCAACTGACATCTGAATGTTCGTCATCTGTCGAGATATCACTTCCATTTTGATTTTGTGACCTAAATAGGCAGTTTTTCGACCCAAAAAAGTCAATGGTGGAAACAGAATTGAGCTATCTTTGCTCTGAAAAAAGTTAGATTTTTTTTCTAGGACCTACTAATCAATTTCCTTAACTGACATCTTAATGGTCGTTATCTGTCGAGATATCGCTTCCATTTTGATTTCGTGACCTAATTAGGCGGTTTTTCCACCCAAAAAAGTCACTGGCGGAAACAGAATTGGGCTATCATTGCTCTGAAAAGAGTTTTTTTTTTTTCAAGGTCCTACTTATTAATTTCCTCAACTGAAATCTAAATGTTCGTCATCTGTCGAGATAACGCTTCAATTTTGATTTCGTGACCTAATTAGGCGGTTTTTCGACCCAAAAAAGGTAAGGGTGGAAACAGAATTAAGCTATTTTTGCTCTGAAAAAAGTTTGGATTTTTTTCAAGGACCGACTAATCAATTTCCTTAACTGACATCTGAATGTTCGTCATCTGTCGAGATATCACTTCCATTTGATTTCGTGACCTAATTAGGCGGTTTTTCAACCCAAAAAAATTCAATGGTGGAAACAGAATTGGGCTATCTTTGCTCTGAAAAGAGTTTGTTTTTTTTTCTACGACCTACTAATCAATTTCCTTAACTGACATCTTAATGGTCGTTATCTGTCGAGATATCGCTTCCATTTTGATTTCGTGACCTCATTAGGCAGGTTTTCGACCCAAAAAAGTCAATGGTGGAAACAGAATTGAGCTTTCTTTGCCCTGAAAAAAGTTTGGATTTTTTTCAAGGACCGACTAATCAATTTCCTCAACTGACATCTGAATGTTCGTCATCTGTCGAGATATCACTTCCATTTGATTTCGTGACCTAATTAGGCGGTTTTTCGACCCAAAAAAGTCACTGGCGGAAACAGAATTGGGCTATCTTTGCTCTGAAAAGAGTTTGTTTTTTTTTTCAAGGTCCTACTTATTAATTTCCTCAACTGACATCTGAATGTTCGTCATATGTCGAGATATCGCTTTCATTTTGATTTCGTGACCTAATTAGGCAGTTTTTCGACCCAAAAAAGTCAATGGTGGAAACAGAATTGAGCTATCTTTGCTCTGAAAAGAGTTTGGATTTGTTTCAAGGACCTACTAATCAATTTCCTTAACTGACATCTGAATGTTCCCCATCTGTCGAGATATCGCTTCCATTGTGATTTCGTGACCTAATTAGGCAGTTTTTCGACCCAAAAAAGTCAATGGTGGAAACAGAATTGAGCTATCTTTGCTCTGAAAAAAGTTTGGATTTTCTTCTAGGACCTACTAATCAACTTCCTTAACTGACATCTGAATGTTCCCCATCTGTCGAGATATCGCTTCCATTTTGATTTCGTGACCTAATTAGGCAGTTTTTCGACCCAAAAAAGTCAATGGTGGAAACAGAATTGAGCTATCTTTGCTCTGAAAAAAGTTTGGAATTTCTTCTAGGACCTATACTAATCAACTTCCTTAACTGACATCTGAATGTTCCCCATCTGTCGAGATATCGCTTCCATTTTGATTTCGTGACCTAATTAGGCAGTTTTTCGATCCAAAAAAGTCGATGGTGGAAACAGAATTGAGCTATCTTTGCTCTGAAAAAAGTTTGGATTTTCTTCTAGGACCTACTAATCAATTTCCCTAACTGACATCTGAATGTTCCCCATCTGTCGAGATATCGCTTCCATTTTGATTTCGTGACCTAATTAGGCAGTTTTTCGATCCAAAAAAGTCGATGGTGGAAACAGAATTGAGCTATCTTTGCTCTGAAAAAAGTTTGGATTTTCTTCTAGGACCTACTAATCAACTTCCTTAATTGACATCTGAATGTTCCCCATCTGTCGAGATATCGCTTCCATTTTGATTTCGTGACCTAATTAGGCAGTTTTCGGACCCAAAAAAGTCAATGGTGGAAACAGAATTGAGCTATCTTTGCTCTGAAAAAAGTTTGTTTTTTTACTAGGTCCTACTAATCAATTTCCTTGACTGACATCTGAATGTTCCCCATCTGTCGAGATATCGCTTTCATTTTGATTTCGTGACCTGATTAGGCAGTTTTTCGATCCAAAAAAGTCAATGGTGGAAACAGAATTGAGCTATCTTTGCTCTGAAAAAAGTTTGTTTTTTTACTAGGTCCTACTAATCAATTTCCTTGACTGACATCTGAATGTTCCCCATCTGTCGAGATATCGCTTCCATTTTGATTTCGTGACCTAATTAGGCAGTTTTTCGATCCAAAAAAGTCGATGGTGGAAACAGAATTGAGCTATCTTTGCTCTGAAAAAAGTTTGGATTTTCTTCTAGGACCTACTAATCAACTTCCTTAATTGACATCTGAATGTTCCCCATCTGTCGAGATATCGCTTCCATTTTGATTTCGTGACCTAATTAGGCAGTTTTCGGACCCAAAAAAGTCAATGGTGGAAACAGAATTGAGCTATCTTTGCTCTGAAAAAAGTTTGTTTTTTTACTAGGTCCTACTAATCAATTTCCTTGACTGACATCTGAATGTTCCCCATCTGTCGAGATATCGCTTTCATTTTGATTTCGTGACCTGATTAGGCAGTTTTTCGATCCAAAAAAGTCAATGGTGGAAACAGAATTGAGCTATCTTTGCTCTGAAAAAAGTTTGTTTTTTTACTAGGTCCTACTAATCAATTTCCTTGACTGACATCTGAATGTTCCCCATCTGTCGAGATATCGCTTTCATTTTGATTTCGTGACCTGATTAGGCAGTTTTTCGATCCAAAAAAGTCAATGGTGGAAACAGAATTGAGCTATCTTTGCTCTGAAAAAAGTTTGTTTTTTTACTAGGTCCTACTAATCAATTTCCTTGACTGACATCTGAATGTTCCCCATCTGTCGAGATATCGCTTTCATTTTGATTTCGTGACCTAATTAGGCAGTTTTTCGACCCAAAAAAGTCAATGGTGGAAACAGAATTGAACTATCTTTGCTCTGAAAAAAGTTTGAATTTTCTTCTAGGACCTACTAATCAACTTCCTTAATTGACATCTGAATGTTCCCCATCTGTCGAGATATCGTTTCCATTTTGATTTTGTGACCTAATTAGGCAGTTTTTCGACCCAAAAAAGTTAATGGTGGAAACAGAATTGAGCTATCTTTGCTCTGAAAAAAGTTTGGATTTTCTTCTAGGACCTACTGACAACTTCCTTAACTGACATCTGACTGTTCCCCATCTGTCGAGATATCGCTTCCATTTTGATTTCGTGACCTAATTAGGCAGTTTTCGGACCCAAAAAAGTCAATGGTGGAAACAGAATTGAGCTATCTTTGCTCTGAAAAGAGTTTGGATTTTTTTCTAGGACCTACTAATCAATTTCCCTAACTGACATCTGAATGTTCCCCATCTGTCGAGATATCGTTTCCATTTTGATTTTGTGACCTAATTAGGCAGTTTTTCGACCCAAAAAAGTTAATGGTGGAAACAGAATTGAGCTATCTTTGCTCTGAAAAAAGTTTGGATTTTCTTCTAGGACCTACTAATCAACTTCCTTAATTGACATCTGAATGTTCCCCATCTGTCGAGATATCGTTTCCATTTTGATTTTGTGACCTAATTAGGCAGTTTTTCGACCCAAAAAAGTTAATGGTGGAAACAGAATTGAGCTATCTTTGCTCTGAAAAAAGTTTGGATTTTCTTCTAGGACCTACTGACAACTTCCTTAACTGACATCTGACTGTTCCCCATCTGTCGAGATATCGCTTCCATTTTGATTTCGTGACCTAATTAGGCAGTTTTCGGACCCAAAAAAGTCAATGGTGGAAACAGAATTGAGCTATCTTTGCTCTGAAAAGAGTTTGGATTTTTTTCTAGGACCTACTAATCAATTTCCCTAACTGACATCTGAATGTTCCCCATCTGTCGAGATATCGTTTCCATTTTGATTTTGTGACCTAATTAGGCAGTTTTTCGACCCAAAAAAGTTAATGGTGGAAACAGAATTGAGCTATCTTTGCTCTGAAAAAAGTTTGGATTTTCTTCTAGGACCTACTAATCAATTCCCATAACTGACATCTGAATGTTCCCCATCTGTCGAGATATCGTTTCCATTTTGATTTTGTGACCTAATTAGGCAGTTTTTCGACCCAAAAAAGTTAATGGTGGAAACAGAATTGAGCTATCTTTGCTCTGAAAAAAGTTTGGATTTTCTTCTAGGACCTACTAACAACTTCCTTAACTGACATCTGACTGTTCCCCATCTGTCGAGATATCGCTTCCATTTTGATTTCGTGACCTAATTAGGCAGTTTTCGGACCCAAAAAAGTCAATGGTGGAAACAGAATTGAGCTATCTTTGCTCTGAAAAGAGTTTGGATTTTTTTCTAGGACCTACTAATCAATTTCCCTAACTGACATCTGAATGTTCCCCATCTGTCGAGATATCGCTTCCATTTTGATTTCGTGACCTAATTAGGCAGTTTTTCGACCCAAAAAAGTCAAAGGTGGAAACAGAATTGAGCTATCTTTGCTCTGAAAAAAGTTTGGATTTTCCTCAACTGACATCTGAATGTTCGTCATCTGTCGAGATATCGCTTCCATTATCGAATTCGTGTTTTTCAGACAAAAATACGCAAGTCAAAAAAAAAAACGAAAAAAAAAACCATCGCATGATAAGTGCAAAATTACCCGATAAACGGTTCCAGAAATATTCGCAAAAACATTTTTTTTTCAAATTTCAAATAGTGCATTTTAGAGGGTAAGTTAATCCTAACTTTTTTTCATATTTCTGAACGAACTATCATATCCTGCAGTCCTGCACACATATTATTAAACCCCCTGTAGATCTCGTTGTATAGTGGAGTGATGATAATAATAATTATAATAATAATTGTAAATAACTTTTTACCTCGAAAATTGAGAAGAATGTGACGGCAACTGCTAGAGACACAATGAAGACAATGACATAAACTGCACCGACATAATTTCCCTCAGCACCCTAAAAAAAATATACAAACATGATTAGTGATATGAATTTCATGATATTGATTGTCTCTATTACCCCAAGATACATTATTGTTCATAATATTGATATACAGGGTGTTGCGAAATTCGACCGACAACGCTTGACAGGTGATAAAACAACAAATTTTGAGTTTATATAATGAAACTAGATTCAGCAAGTCTTTAGGTTTGTATAGATTTACAGTTGATTCTAAAAGAGGTAAATTGAAAATGCACTTTATTGTTTCATTTTGTAATTTCATGAGTGTCATCAAACGTGAAATATTTGTACTTCCTCAAATAGATATTAGATATTGTTAATTTGGATGAAAAAGACAAAAATAAATACTCTAGGTATCTAACAAGAATGAAATTTCGAATTTTATATATAATACCAGCAATAGGAATAATTTTTTTCATATCACATCTGATAGGATTTTGAAAGCTACAAACCTGAAAGAAAAATCACAGCTTCAAAAAATGATAAGTGGCTGTAGAGTATTAATATTGTGTGCTTTTTTTTAAACACAACACAGATACACCGATATATCATGGTAAGTATCTAGAAAACTGAATACAGCTATGTTTATATCAAAAGATAACCAAAAAAACTGAATTCTCCTATAGGTGATAGCAAAAAAAAATGTAATCATGTAAACATACCGACATGACCCCGGCAGTAATAAGCAAAGATATCAACACGATCAGAAGCTGAGCCATTCCCAATACGAAATCTCCAATGTAGTTGACGGAAGCGATGTTGACAGCGTTCTGGAAGATGATCTTTGCTGCTCTCTTGCCAGATTTGAAAAACGGCTTTCCGTGCATTGCTGGAAATATGCATCATCAATTTCAGTTCCTCCAATACAGGGTGAGTCACGACGAGCTTACATTATCATTATTATCATCATTAGTCATAGATAAATCATTGTTTGTTCGGACATTAGTCGGTTAGCAGCATGATTCAACTTATTAGTCATTCATTCGGGACCAGGTGGTAAATCAAGACAGTCTTATATTAGATGTCATCACGCACGGTCGAATTTTGTGATCGACATCGAAACATACGCGAAAAGAATTATTTTGTGTGTTTGAGTGTTCCCTAAAAACTGAGTGATCGTATTGATTCGTATATATAGTGTTTTTGTATTCCTCATTCGATTCAATAATAATAATATCGGGATAGTGTGTTGTTCTAGTGTTTCGTGTTGTTTCATCAAAGCCTCACTTTTTTCACGCTGGTGAGTGCAGAGCAATTCTCTCATTTTTTCCTCATATTCCTCTGTATTCATTTAACTTCATTACCCTATACAGGGTATGTCACGACGAGCTTACACTATCTTTAAATCGATGCTTTTATTTTGGTATACGCTTTTTTCATTTAAGACACGTTCGACAATGCAGTGTTGCCGCTTTTACTAGAAAGTAGTAGCAACATTGATAATTCAAACGGGCCATTTTTATTTAATGCATTTTTAGGTTCTCCTGAAGAGCTGATTTTATCGATATATCACACTTGGGGTCTATCGAAAAAGATTACAGATATATAGGGTGTTCAGAATCGAGATTTTTCAACTTTAGGATTTTTTTGCGTCGAAACTATTCAATATTGGTCAAAACGGCTTTCATGTCCCTATCACAACTTTTGATTCACTATCTACTGACCATGTCCAATGAAAATGTCTCACCTTTGACATAACCCTGCATATTTATTAGTGATTATCATTTTGGATAGAAACCTTCAATCAGAAACTGTTCTAGGACATTAATATTAGGAATAAAACTCTTCTGTATATGATAATACCTGTCAAGATGTAGGAGTTTTTGGACAAAAACTTGAGGAAAGATTCGATGGTGCCTGTGCAAAAGTCAACGCACGCTTTGAGATTCTTGTTCTTGGTGATAGAGGAGAGCAGAGCACGAATAATCGCCATAATAGTGATGACCAAAGAACCGAAAAAGATGCTGCCAAGATGGAAACGGAAAACAATGCTCGCACTTCTAGTTATAGGACTGTCCAAGTTATGCTTATTCCTGAAAAAAAAAAACGTTATGATTGGTTGAACATATACAGATTGGCCTATTTGAAAGCGGGCTACACTCATAAATTTCTCATTATTATGAAGCTATTTTCACTATTTTATTTAAGTGTGATCAGACCACGATATCGGTTGGTGCGGTCTGTGCTTCACTGAGGAATGGCTATACTCAGCCTGTACAGTGTGTCCAGTTTTCGAAGCAGAATCTAGTCGCGCACTCAACATTTTTTGTCGGGGTATGGTTTTGGAGATACGACTCAAACGACGACAAATGATCTTTTAAATGGAACACTCTGTATTTCATAATGAGTTTTTCATTATTTCCGCCAAAAATATAATTGACACTTGATATGCTGAAATTTCAGAAAATTTTACAAATAAAAGTACCAAATTTCAACCAAATCGGTTGCAGGATATTCATGATATTTTGTAATTACCGTTTTTTTTTCTTCAATTTTATCGCCCTGTATCTCAGAAACGAAGCAACTTAAAGTCAAGAAACATATCCTCTTGCAAAGAGAAAATCAAACCTGAGTGAATGATTTCTCATTCACTAATTTATTTCATCATGTCATAGTGTACTTTTCATGAGCTTTTTGTTTTCTTATTTTTTTTAATCTGCTGTTTATTTCAATAACTATAATTTAATTTAATAACGCATGAATAATCTCATGCCAGATATGAATCTGTCTGATTATTCATGTTAATGAATATATATTTTTTTAATTATATGAGATGCAATGTAATGGTCATAGCAAAGAATGAAATAAATAAATGAAGATGAAAACTGAACACACTGTACATATCTTCAAAAGTAGAAAATTCGAGAAATCATTAGATGGGTACTGATGACAAAATTCGGACTCACTTGGAGAAATACCAAGTGGCGACAGCTCCTGCGATGACCATGTACTGGATGCCGATGACGAACTGAATGGACCAGAAGGCCATCCAAAAGTTGAAGAGCAAAGTGAAGACCATAAAGTTGTTCATTTGGTACTGGTAGAAACCGCTTATCAACGGTGTCAAGATACCCGACGAGGACATGTAGACGCTGGTCGTGATCAGGAGGGCGACAATGATAGCTTCCGAAAAGAAAGTCTGCAAATAGAAAATGGAACGGTGTTGGCAACTGACACAAAAAACCTTTCTTTTCTGCAACCTACACCAAAATCGTTCATTTCAATACCAAAATCAGCTCTTGAATAGACGTTACTATTACTGACACAAAAATAGGTATGTTGCTAGGCAACATATTTAGTTCCTAGGAGCTAAAGCTGAACTTTAGTTCCTAGGAGCTGAAGTTGAACTTTAGCTACAAAAAATTAAAAAGGATGCACTAGACGTCATCTAGAATAAACAACATTGTTACGGTTGGTTATTTGGGTTGGGACGCATACCTGATTTGTTTCCGATTTCGTCAGATTTGGCATTTCATGCCGATGCTGGAGATATAAATACACCTTATTACAGTAAAGTATAGGAATTATACACATCTCAGTTAAGTATTTTTGTTACGATCAGAGAAGCCTTCAAGATTCACATACTTGCTTGATCTGTATTTCATTCGTTATTCTCAGTCTAAGAACAGTCTCTTTTGGTGAAATATATTAAGCTTTTAGTACAAACTATATGTTCCCTACCTCGCAAAGATTATGCTGGAGTAGTAAACTCTGAAACTAGAGGATTGTTCAACTATATCTTGGTATAGTTGAATCAGGAATTCCATATGGAAATTACGTATGATACGCCAATGACCTCAATATAACCAAAATACAACAAATGTCAAAAATCTGATAGGTATTTTGAGCCGATACCACGCGATACATCTAGAAATGTCAAAGTAGCTACTCCTTTGATTCATTTCCACTACGTGTGACCAATAACAAAAATTGTTTGCCTGTATGTCACTGTGGTAAATTATTTCTTGGTAATGGAAAGGTTTCGATCTCTTCACTACATACTGTATGACAAGTTCTTCCATAATCACGAGATTTTTTGAGAAATATATTTTCAGCCTATGTAAAATTCTTCCATATCGTTAGGTTATTGATTTTCGAAAAACAAATAGCACCTGTATACAAAATATCTCCCCCCCGTTCAATTTTATTATCATCATTTCATAGATGAATCATTTTTTGTTCGAAAATTAATCGGTTAGAAGCATGACTCAACTTATTAGTCATTCATTCGGGACCAGGTGGTAAATCAAGACAGTTTTATATTAGATGTCATCAAGTACGGTCGAATTTTGTGATCGACATCGAAAAATACGCGAAAGGAATTATTTTTATCGTTCCAAACTGAGTGTTCCCTAAAAACTGAGTGATCGTATTGATTCGTATATAGTGTTTTTGTATTCCTCATTCGATTCAATAATAATAATATCGGGATAGTGTGTTGTTCTAGTGTTTCGTGTTGTTTCATCAAAGCCTCACTTTTTTCACGCTGGTGAGTGCATAGCAATTCTCTCATTTTTTTCCTAATATTCCTCTGTATTCATTTAACTTCATTACCCTATACAGGGTATGTCACGACGAGATTACACTATCTTTAAATCGAGAATCAGTCGGGAGAAATCCATGAAAATGTGCATGCTTATATTTTCGTATACGGTCTTTTCATTTAAGATATGATCGACAATGCAGTGTTGCCGCTTCTACTAGAAAGTAGTGGCAACATTGATATTTCGAACGGAACACCCTGTATTTTATTGCAATTTAAGATTCTCCCTGAAGAGCTGATTTCATCGATATATCATACTTGGGGCTTATCGAAAATGATTACAGAGATATAGGGTGTTCAAAGTCGATATTTTTCAACTTTAGGATTTTTTTGTGTCGAAAATATTCATAATCGGTCAAAACGGCTCACAAGTCCCTATCTCAACTTTTGTTTCACTATTTATTCATATTCAATCAGAACAGATACAGGGTGATTCAAGATTCAGAATTCTGATCACATGCATATTTTCATGGATTTCTCCCAACTGATTCTCGATATAGAGATAGTGTAAGCTCCTCGTGACATACCCTGTATGTTTCGTATCGTTTGTTGTAATTTCTCCGATCAAGGAATACTTTCTTCTGATTTTCGTGCTTCCTCCTGTTCGAAACTGTATCTTTCTCAATAACTGTGATACAGAACGTAATCTTGATTTTGGCAAAATCTTCATCTATGGTCAGGTCATAACTTTTGAACCACTGTGTAATGGAGTGCCTTCTATTCACTCATAAAAAATGTTTAACAGATGGTGCTGTATGGCACAATCATATACACTCATACTCAACTAGAAATAGTGATGATATCTGCATACCATTCTGTAGAATCAAGAAAACACAAAATTCATATAGATATATCAGAGCTAAGCTCTATAATGGCCTACCACACAGCTATAAAGGTTCAACTTATTCAGTATTTAAGAAAAAAATACATGATATACTGATGTTACATTGTTTTTACTCAGTTGAGGAGTTTCTCCTCCACATGCCCTCCTGTACATGCGAGTTCAATGTTGATATTTGAACCATGGATTTATTCTCGTGTGTCATGTTTTACTTTACTTTTTTTATTTTATATTATTGTAGTGCCTGTAGTTTAGATTGTAAAGTGTATCTGTGACTAGTGTAAAATTCTTGTAATTTTATATAAAATAAATTATCAATTATCAATTATAATCGGTTCATACTTGGTAGGTATATTCAACTCATATTTCTCATCAAAACTTAATATGAATCGAATTTAGAATCCAGATCCGTCTTCAGACAAAAAACAGTATTTTTATTGAACTCCTTATTCAAAAACTCCAATTTTATTACAAAAAAATAACCAGTCCTCAAATTTCAACTTAATTAGAGCCGAATTAGGTAAACTATCGATGGATTTCGTTCCATAGAACAATTTGTCAATTATTTTAGATATTTTCGAGTGCTCATTACATTTTCACACACACAAATTAATTAAGTATTTTACACTCTTGAATTTTTGTACGTAGATTCATATTCCGAAATTATTTATTTTAGTATTGTCAGTAATTTTATATACATATATATTATACGTCTCCGAAGTTTTTGTGATTGTTTAACACCGGAGTTCTTTCATTTCATTTATTTTTATATCTATCCATTTTGATTATTTTGTATATAAATATTTTACACTCTTGAATTTTTGTACCAACTTAGTTTTATATTCCAAAATTATTAATCTTATTATTTTCAATAATACCTCGTCAGACGAAATTCCTACTTTTTCACCACGTACAAGCACCATTTGCTGCTTCTGTGGGTTTTCTAATGTTTATTTACCTAATGTTAACTTGCAATCATTATTTCTTCCATTGTCATCTGAATCTGTCGAAATAAACATATTATTATCATTATCATTATTATTATTATACCAAATGTCAATTTGGATGCGTGCTTATAAAAAGTAGACCACATTGTTCATTATTTTCCTCTACTTTCCAGTTAACAAAACATATATCTACATATTTTGGGAAAAATTATATTTTCAACCTAGGTTAATTTTTTTTTAAGCATTAGACTTTCGAAAATAATACTGTCAGTATATCCGTGTTCAATACTCCATCTTATATTTTGTATACTATATATCTCTCTTCCTCCCGTATAATTCCATTATCATCATTAGTCATAGATACATCATTTGTTCGGAAATTAATCGGTTAGCAGGATGATTCACCACATGAGTCATTCATTCGGGACCAGGTGGTAAATCAAGACAGTTTTATATTAGATGTCATCAAGTACGGTCGAATTTTGTGATCGACATTGAAAAATACGCGAAAGGAATTATTTATCGTTCCAAACGGAGTGTTCTCTAAAAAATGAGTGATAGTAATCGAAAATTTCAAACAATGGAAATGCAGAAATCATTGTTTACCTTTTTCACGCTGGTGAGTTTTTAATTTTTTTTATTATGAGTGAAAGTATTATCTGATAGGTATTTTGAGTCGATACCACTCGATACATCTAGAAATCTTAGAGCAGGAACTTCTTTGATTCATTTTCATATACATATACGTATTTTTTGTAAGAAATGTATGCGATTAGAACAAACCCGAAGAAAATTTGTCAATCTGTATCGCTGACTGTGCTAGGGCTGCTAGGCTATGTATCGCAACTGCCAATTTTCACAAAGAAATTTTCGAAGTCGTCAAAATTTCTTTGAAATGGTCACACACGAATTGTCAATCTCTTATTATTATCCATATACTCAGACTGGAAATTTGTCTCGAAATACCCTGTACTAATTGTATAATTTCCTATGGTATATTATATGTATATCCAGCCCACATTTCTGGATAAAGTGATTATTCATAAAATTTTAACCCCCTGTTAAAATATGAATAACTTTTGTCTGCTTCGAATAATTTGAATTTGGTTCACACTATTCGCTAGCCCAGTCCTTCAGCTATAAGCTCGTACTTCTTTAAAACATGAGGAAAAATTTTTGAATTTACAATAGGATCCCAAATGGACTAATACTTTTTTTTTTCAACTTTGACAGCAGATTACTTTGAGACACTTTTCGAATTGTCTTATCATCCCTTTTACTTACAGAGTGATATCGAAAAATTTACTTTTAGGTTTTGCAGTCATAATTTTTTTCCTTCCCAACCGATTTATAAAATCTCAGGCTCATTTTGAAGATGAAACTTCAGATGAAGAGATATGAAGATCAGAATTGACTCAAGATGAACATTGCACAGAGTGTCTCACTTTTAATGGAAGCATCACTATATCTTTCGTATTTGTTTAGTAGGGATTCTGAAATTTGCAGGAACGGTAGATATATACTGAAAGTACACACTATGACAAAGTGGAGTCATCTTCAGTGATATACACTGCTTGCTAACAGCCATGGAACTATCCACAAAAATGAAATAGGCGAGTTGACTAATTATTTTCATTTCTTAAATAGAATCATCACTCAAATAACTTTCAATTTCATATATTCAGCATTCAGCACATTGTTGCAAAGTCTTCAAAATCAACATGATATTTCGTTATAGGGTACAAGACATATACAGACATGAAGGTTGTTCAAAAAAGTCAAGAATGATCTATAACATCATGGCTTAC